CGGCTGCTGCTTGTTCTGTTGCAGCCAGAGGTCCGTTCCTGTGGCAAAGCAGAGGAATGCAACAGGCTGCTGGTGCCAGACGGGCTTTCTCCAGAAACAGGCCTAGTATTTAGGGAAGGAAATAATCCCATGAGAATTGTTTTCCTGTTTTTGAATTTTATGTAAATGGGATCATGTTCATGGGATTTATTTTAATATTCCACAGATACAGTTATTATGTTCCCAGAGGGGACTGTGCAGTATGTATTTGGGTGTTTTTCTATATAAAATTTAATGCTCAGAGTCTAGCCTTAGGCTTGGAGTATATAGACTCAAGGCTACCACGTATTAACTGTGTTATCTAAAGTAAGTCACTCACTGTCTTCTGGGGATAAGGCTTGGTCCTGTCTACCTCACAGGGGTGTCACAGGGGATCACATGACATTGATGTATATAGAAGCATTTTGCAAACTATAAAGCATTCCATAAATATAAAGGTGGTTATAGTTTGTTCTTTCATTTATTAGCGGTTACCTGACTAAACTCTCTTCAGCATAGTGCTCCTGGGCCAGCTCTGGGGCCTGGCACATGACTGGGGACTTAGATGTCAGAATGTACATTTAGGAGGAGATATTTAGAGCTAAGGCAGGAAAAGAGCTCAGGTGTAAAGAGAGGTTTATTTGAGGCCTTTGCCAAATAACTGATTTCTTTCCACTCCGCGGTCACTGATAGCAGAAAGAATTAGAAATAATATTTACACATAATTAACATCACTTATTGAACTGGATGGACCTCCTTCACATCAGGCATTATATCCATGTTGTCTTTAATTCTGATAACAACTGGACAAGATAGGTGTTAATATTCCACTTATTATTTATGCAGAAACTAAGGTTCAGCAAATCCTTATGGTCCATCACACTGGCTTTATTCTCTTAGTGACTTTGGGGTAAAAGAGTAGCTTATCTAGGAAAGGAGGGTAATTTAGAGTTGAGGAAGATTCTTAGGCCTGAGATTTCTTTTATGTGTTTTAGCTTCAGTGAAATAAAGTCTCTCCTTTTAAAGCTGATCTAACACTCATGTTAGAGTTGGAAGAAACTTTAACAGGCACCCCCTTTAACCTCCCTCACAGAAGCTAAGGCTGGCGTAATGAAGCAGGGGTGGGCTCGTGCAATGTTCTGGGCTTCTGATGCCTGGTATGCTGCTTTCGCAGGGCCCATGGCTTTTCCTGCTGGGTGCTGGTAAGCCTCTCAGAGAGACTTCTTCCAGTGCCCACCTGCTGGTTTGCTGGGTTATGCCTTTTCTCCTCAAAGAAAGACAAAATAAATTCAGTGCAAAAACTAATGAGTCTAATGCCAGTAAAATGACTTTTACCATTTTAAGGAAATTGAAAATGACATAGATTTAATAGGAAACTTGAAATCTATTTAGTAGCATTACAGGTAGGTTTGTGGGTGTATTAAAAAGTAAATTCACCTTCTCAGCCTGTAGAAAATGATGCTAAGCCAGGGAGCATGGGTGTTTAAATCACTTCAGTTATTTGTGCCTAACAACAGTCAAACACTTGGAGCGAGGCAGATGTGACATTTGACATTGTTCCTGCTCTCAAGGAATTTATAGTCTTGCTGATAGAGGCAGGTCTCCTGAGTTCTAGGCCTGTGCTTTATTGTCCTTTAATGGTTTCTCATCATACCATGTTTACAGGTATGGAAGAGCATAGCATAATGCTCTGTATGACTTCTTTCCTTTATTCTTTGTTCTCTAACGAGTTGTGGAACACTTTCTATTTGCTGTCACTTCGTTAAGCATGGTGGTTACAGAGATAAACCCCGAAGGTATTCACAGTGTCTGGTTAGGTGATCATGTACGTACAGATACAGAGAGTCACATACATGCATGTACTTAGTCACATATATGCAGTGTGATAAAAGTAGCACTTAGTGTTTGGGACAGTTTGGCGGGAAAGTGCCTGATGTGAATGTGGGTTTTTGTGCAGAGCTTCCCAGTGGAAGCACCGTTTGAGATAGGTTTATAATTCATGTCAGTGATTGGATTTGAACTTTTGCTTCTAGCCATGATGGAATAACAGTGATAGGATTTACCTTCTTGCCTTAACCTACTAGAATACCGAATATATATGAAAAATGGTTTCAGACATTGGACAACAGGTAGTAAAGGATTGTGGAGAGAGAAAGGATGAGAGGAGAAAAGAAGGATATAAAAAAAGACCAAATTAAACTTCTAGGGATGAAGAATATAATAATCTGAATTGAAAATAAAGCAGAAGGTATTAAATAGCAAGCAGATTAGACACTGCAGAAAAAAGATCAGTGAATTAAAGAAATAGGAATAGAAACTAATAGAAATAGCAATAGCTACTATAGAAACTAGTGCTTCCAAAATGAAGCACATGGAGAAAAAAGCCTTGAAAACAAATGAACAGATTACTAGTAACATGGGGTAGTATCAAGAGATCTAACATATGTGTTAGATCTATTGTCCTGAGGTGTAACTATGAGGTGTAATATGTGTAACTATTATCCTGAGCAAGGGGTGGGGGTAGGGAAAATTTTTGAGGAGTTAATGGAAGATTTTCTTTCCAAATTTGATGAAAACTAAATCCACACATACAAGGCTCAACAAACGGTTAAGTTATATTAAACAAACTGTACCATAAAGAGGGACATTTTTTAATGCTGAAAGATTTATATCAAGTAGCATAACAATCCTGAATGTATATGTACTTAATGAGAAAGCCTCAAAATATATGAAGCAAAAACTCATGAAGCCGAATGTAGAACACTTGAACACCATCATCAACTAATACGACCTAATTGACATTTATGGAACACTCAACAACAGTAAATAAATACTCTTTTCAAGTGCACATGGGACATTTACCAAGATAAACCACATTCTGGGGGGCGCCTGGGTGGCTCAGTGGGTTAAGCCGCTGCCTTCGGCTCGGGTCGTGGTCTCAGGGTCCTGGGATCGAGCCTCGCATCGGGCTCTCTGTGCAGCAGGGAGCCTGCTTCCTCCTCTCTCTCTGCCTGCCTCTCTGACTGCTTGGGATCTCTCTCTGTCAAATAAATTAAAAAAAAAAAAATCTCCTTGCCTTACCTCTTTATTAAAAACAGAACAAAACAAACAAAAAAAAACTACATTCTGGGCCATAAAACAAGTGGTAATAGTTTAAAATAATTGAAATAATAGAAAGCATGTTCCCTGGCCAGAACAGAATTAAACTAGGAACTAATAACATAGAGATATATGGAAAAATCTTCAAATACTTGGAAATAAACACACCTCTCAGTAGCACCTGGTTCAAAGAAAAAATCATGCAGAAGATTAGAAATCATTTAGAATGAATGAGAATCAGAACACCACATAGCAAAAATGTATGGGTTGCTGCTAAAGGAATGCTTAGAGGGAAGTCTATAGCTTAATTACATGCATACATTAGAAAAAAAGAGAGATCAAAAATCAGTGACCTAATAAGCCTTTCCCTTAAGAAAGTAGAAAAAAATAAGAGCAGGTTAAACCCAAAGGAAACATGAGGAAGTTAAGAGCAGAATTCAATGAAATAGAAAACAGAAAAGCAATAGAGAAAAATCAATGAACCTAAAACTTGGAGGTCAATAAAAGATCAATAAAATTGCTCAACCATTGCCAATTGATAGGGACAAAAAGTGAGAATGCACAAATTATCGTAAAAGGAATGAAAGTGGTATTACAGAGCTTGCATATACTAAAAGGATAATGGCATATTATGAACATTATGCCATAAACTAGAAAACTGTGTCTGTGAAATGGACAAATTCTTGAAAAAAAAAACTAAAAACTCATTCAAGAAGAAATAGCACGAATAGCCGTATTCTACTAAATATTAAATAACACTACTTAATTAAAGAATTAGCCCTGATTAATGTGACTATTTAATTCTGTTAAAGACACTGAATTTTAGTTAAAAATCTTCTCAAAAGGAAAACTCCAGGCCTTGATCACTTTAGTGGATGATTCTACAAAATGTTTAAGGAAGAAATAATGCCAATTCTACATAAATTCTTTCAGAATATAGAAGAGAATACTTCCCAATCAACTTTTATGAGGCCAGCATACCCTGTACTGATAGTTGACAAAAAATTTCAAGGGCAGAGGGTGGAAATTATAGTAAAAAAAATAAAAAATAAAAAAAATCCTACAATATATAAAAAGGGCACTAGGTGACCAAGCTGTGTTTATCTCAGGAATTAGGTTAGTTTAACATTTGAAAATCAGTGTAATTCCCCATATTAGTAAGAATTAATAAGAAATTAATAAGAAATAGAAGAACCATGTCAAAAATTTTCCACCCCCTGCCCTTGAAGCTGGATAGGTTGGCAGAGAGATAAAAAGGTGGACTGTTTCTCATATTTGCTTAACAAACTGATATTGCAAGAGAAATTATGTTCTTGAGAGAGAAATCCTCCATCCTGGATGGGAAATGAGGTGATCAATGCACCCTTTCATTTTTCTTCCTTCTTTTGCGTTTGGCTTAAAAACAAAATGGCAACAAAACCTTGCTTTCACCATCAACTGTTTTAAAGAGTAATTCTCTCTGGGTAGACCTCAGCTGAATTTGTGTAACTAAGGGTGCACTTGAGCTTTCACGTGTTACAGGGAAGAAGTAGGTTTTAATGTTTGAGAAAGCTTTTGATCTAGCCATCTAGGTGAACTGCTGAGATTAGCCAGACATGGCTTCTGCCTTCAAGCAAATACCAGTTTCTTCGAACCCAAGGAGCGAGGTACAAAATCTTCCTCACATTACATTTTAGAAAGAGAAAGGCTTCTGGAACTGTTTTTTGGGTTCAGCTCCATATAGATGAGATTCTTAAACATCACTGTCTATCCTGGGAGTGATGCAGGGGAATGTATACATGTGTATGTGTGGTGGGAGTGAGTACCCAGGATTTTGATGAAAGAACAGAACAGCTGATTTTGAGGGCTTGCTCTAAAATCCGATACTTTCTTGTGTCTTACAGGCAATGGATTTTGAAGGCTGGGCCGACACCCTCTTTCTTTTGCAGTTCACCCTCTCTTGTGTGATGGGGTAAGCCTTTGTTGCCTTGTTAGCAGATCGTTTTCCTAGAGACGTTTGTTCTTGGGTCCTTTTGCTTCTTTCTCAGTATCCTGTTCTGTCTCTTGAGTGTGTCTGCATAGGACGATTAAACTTCCAGATTCAGGTGGTTTCACAGCCCTTGGGAATGTACCCTTAGGGCTGCTAAACTAATTCCAAAGTCATGTTTCCAAGGATGGGGACAAGAAACTATTTACATAGGAACCTAGTATGTGATAAGCACTGTTATATTTCAAAATGCATTATTTTATTTCTACATTGACCATTTGACACATATTTTTGTCCTCTTACCTGTGTGGAAGCAGTCCTGGAACTCAAGTAAGTTGTCTAAGTTTGCAGTTAGCACTGGCGGCCTTTGACTTTGAGGCTGTCTGACTCTCTCTACAAGGTTGTCTTCCTCCTAGGAGAGAATATGTGGAAGGTAAGAAAAAGGTATCTGCTAACGTGCCTCTTCTCTTCACCTTCGTATTTCCATGAGGAATTGTTTTCCTCAGCCGGTCAGTCTGGTTAGTATTTATGACTAGATCGGGCACAGGCGAGGTGCCCAGTGAGGGAGTGCTTCAAAGTAAAATTAACACGGTGCCTTGGTACTGAATCAAGCTCTGAGCCCTCGTTGTAAATCTCTCCGTTCCAGCTGCTGCCTTGAGTGAACCTATATTCCTTCTCAAAGTAGTGCTAATTTGGGTTTCTTCCATCTTTCACAATCTCCCTTGCCTCCTGTCCAGAGGTCGCATTGACCTCATGGGAGGTGCACTGCTGAGCCGTGGTCTGTGAACTCAGCTTTCTCTCAGGGTTAGGTGAACTAGTGGGAATATGATCTAAAAAGAGTACTCATGATTAGGAATGGTTGCAAGGTTTTGGTGAGGGTAGTTGGGGAAAATACCTGGTCAGTAAATGGACACATGATTCTCTCTAATGAAATTTTTAAAAATTCTAAAGCTGCAGTACAAGCAGGGGTGAGATGGGGAAAGCTCAGAGTCAGTGACTGCAATGCGCTAGCATGGCCAATGCTGTTTCTCTTGGCTGAAGATTGCTCGAAAGTAAGCAACCAGCTCTTAAACTTCTTCCTTCTCTGTTCCAGGTTTATCTTGATGTACGCCACAGTACTCTGCACGCAGTATAATTCTGCCCTTACAACTACAATAGTTGGCTGTATTAAAGTGAGTTGAAAAAATACTGTTATCTTTTGGGTACCTGCTTTATTTAAAAATTGTGGCTCTAAATCTTGCTGTGGTCTAAAACCCCATCATCCTTATTTCCTCACAGATTGTCTTGGTTTGGCAGATTGTGGTGCTGGTTTCTAAAACAATCTTCAAGAACTCGGGGAGGGCATAATCTCTGCTTCCAGGCAGCTTGGCTCTGGGGAATATGGGAAAAGGAGAATGGGTTACCTTAGAGTAGAGGAAGAGGAATTAGCTTTGTTTCAGACAGGATAGGTGGCTAGCTTGGGAGTGATAGGCCTGTCCCTTTAACCCCCGAAGAAAACTGTTCTGTTCGCTGCCTTACTGAGTTCTGGCTATTGTAGGGAAAGGATGCCTGCCAGAAGTTAATCAAGGGAGTTTTCCAGTGCATGAGCCAAACCTTAAATGGCCCACTTTTAAAAGCTGTGTCTGACATTTCCAGTGATGTCATTTCCTCCTGATCCATTTTATTTGAGGGAGGCTCATTTGTCCTAAGCCAGGGGAGCCAAGTTGACTTGAATATAGAGCTGAAGTTAGTGGCTTGAAGCCTGAGGCCTCTTTTTCTGACTTTGTGCTTCTAGTGCTTTAAGATCCAAGAGGCCGTGGCATGCCTGATTTCCAAATGAATTAGCAGGGTAGGCTTGCCTTCTTAAAAAAGGCAAGACAGAGAGAGATAGGTCCGTGATCCTTTGGGAAATAGAATGCCTGCCCTTGGGACTTCCTTTCTGATTTCCCCATTTGTCAATAGTGAGGGAAGGAATTGAAAAAGTTTTTACTGCCCTGCTATGTTTCCCTTTGCACCCCCATGGATTGGTGTCCACCTGCCCTCACTTTAAAAACTAGATTTGGGTTCAAATTTCAGGTCTGTGACTTCAAATCATGGAATTGGAATGTTTGGTGTAAATAGAATTAGCTGTGTGAATTCCCATGAAAGCTAGAGGCGGTTAATCTACATTCAGGCCTGGGCTTGCTAAGATAGGTTTAGCCCCTCAAATTAGCTCTCCGCTCTGTTTTGGTTTTGTGAAGTAAAGGCTTCAAGAGCAAAGTGAATGAATGGCTTGCCTCTTCAGAATAAGAAGAGCAAGAACATGAAAGATGGGCCAGTTGTAACCATGTTTTTGCCAAAAAGGATACTGCCCAAAAGCCAGTATTTAATTTTAATAACCTATTTGCTTAGGATTTCATAGGGTACTTTCTTTATATTTAGGAGCATGGAGTAGAAATATAATCATGGTCTTATTAACAGAAAGTCCAGTACTTTTCTTTTGATATATCTTCCTCCCCATGCAGCCCTCTGGATTTACTCTGTCCAAAGGGATCAGTGTTACTTCCAAACTCTAGAGAGAGGGGAAAAAATTGGTTTGTCTGATTAGTTTACAGCTGCTCTTGCTTCTCACTGTCTCGTGGCATTGCTGTTGAAGGCTGTCTGACATCTTCAGACAGATGGGAGTACGCCGATGCCCTTGCTGGTTCAGAGTCTCGTGGTCCATAGTGGAGCTTCTTTCATTAGCCTCCCAGATACAACCCTTTTAGCTCAGTCATCGTTCCCCAAGGGGCTGTCACTGGTTCTTGTTTCTCTGAAGCATGGTGGGAAAATTACTGAGGATACTTAATTACAAATGGCAATTCCTAGGCCCACCTCTTATACACTAAATCAGAATCTCAAGTAGAGCCTGGAAATCATCATTTCTAACAAGGTATATTAATGTTTGGGAATCACAGTCTGAATTTTGAGGTACTAGTATAGTCTCTTCTCTGCTTGCTGGTAGGTTCTGCTCGGGGCATCACTGTCTGTTCCTGATTTTGAACAGCAGGATTTGGGCTCTCAGTCTTCTCCCTTTCTGTAGTTCCTGGGCACTTCATGCAAATGAACCTGCCATCTCTGCATCTCTGTGCTCTGAGCTGATCCACACGTTTTCCCAAGTTACCTACTAGCCTTGTTTAGTGTTGCATGGTATTTAATTTTGCGTTTTCCCCTCAAAATAATAAGAAAATCTGTTCTGTGGTAACTTGCTGTCTCCATCCTTAGACCTAGAAGAGGCTGACGTAATTCCGAATGCTCTCTCAGAGGGCACGCCCATTATAAAAATAATTCTGAAGTTTCTTTTTGGCTTTTCAGAAACACTGTGGCACTTTACTTCTGCTTTGTAGACCTGATCTAGGCGAGCTCAGGTTCTAAAAATGTTTGTGACATTTACCATTTCTGTCAGCTGTCATAGCAGAGAGGGAGGTGGTGACTTTGAATGTGAAAGCGAGGAGGTTAGGGAACAATTGACTAGTAACTTGAACTTTGGGAAAGTTTATTTCACCTCTGTGGCCTGAAGATAAATAAAAGGGAGCCAGATAAGCAGATGTTTACACCTAGGAGTTTAAGGGAGTGAGGAGAAATAATTTTAAATATGGGAATTTGAGATGACTTTTCATGTATTTTTTTTAAGAGTACAAAGAAGAATGTCTCTAAAAACAGTGTTCATGTTGGTAAACTCCCTGTCATCCCTTTTTTCCTTTCTAAAAAAGAGGTAAAGATGTTGATATGTGAGGTTTTTCTTCTTCACTTTTGTCTCAAAAGTCAATGGTTACTTCGGTGGGAGGAAGAAGCCTTCTTGTCTAAGACTGCTAAACATGCATTAGTGCTTTCCACCCCTACAGACAGCAGTGTTTCTCTATTTAGATTTACAATGTCAGCCCATACCGTGGGGCACGGGAAGTTGATAATCTGGTGATAATTCTCGATGAAAGCATTTAGCTTTTGGAGGGCTAGATTGAGAAGAGGTTAATGTCTTTTCTTATTTCTTATTTCCTACTACACTCATTATAGGATTGGTGGGTTTTTGTTATTGTCTTGTTTCTTTGATTTTGTATTTTAAGGATAGGTATTTGGGCCATTCTGTGGATGAGTTAATATGAACATTGAAAAATCTCGGTTAAACCTGTGTTACAACATATTGCCATTTTTCTTTGTAGAATATATTAATAACTTATATTGGAATGGTCTTTGGTGGAGATTATATTTTCACATGGACAAACTTCATTGGCTTAAATATCAGGTAAGTAAAAATATTTAAATGTAACCACTTTGACAAGAGGGATTTGGATACTTAAATAGTGTCATAGTAGGGGGCTATTTAATTGAAAATTTTTTCATTTATTAAACAATTATTGAACACCTACAGTATAGTGTATTTTTAATGTCTTCACATAATGCTTTTTAAGAAATGGGGATAAGATGGTTCCATATTTATGCACAGTATTTAGGGAATCTTTTCTGGAAGTTAAACCCTTTCTACTTACTAGCCTTCAAAGACAGTCTTTTACTTATTATGCTAGATGGCAGTACACTATTCTGAGGTAAATTCCGGGCTAAAGAAGAGCAGCTCTGTTAGAATTGCTGTATATGTGCCTGACCTTGGACATATCACTGGATTGCTTTAGTCCAGACTTCATCAGTGATGAGGGTAACTTGCATGAAAGATCCTTATTAGTTCCAGAATTAATTTCATGGCTTTAAATGCTGTATGTATGCTTAAAAATTCCCAGATTTGTTTTCGGGCCAGAACCCTGTCTTGAACTCCAGTTGTTTATCTTTTCCTGAGCTTCAGTTTTCTTACGTGTCGGGAATGAAGATATCCATATCTCTTTAGAGTTGTTAGCATGAAATAATCTAATATAAAGTACCCAATTCACTGTTTGACATCTGTGGTGAGTAAATATCAGTTTCTTTCATTAATATTTGTGAGAAAGGGCCAGGATATAAGGAACGACCTGGTGGAACAGTTTTGACTTTGGATTCATTGACTTTGACTCCATTTCATTCACTTCTAAAAATTTGGATTAAAGAATCATTATGGCACCATATAGACCTGACTCAGAGGTGCTTTGGTTTTCTTTTTGTTCCCTTCAAATAAATAACCTGTAAGGTTATTTGGCTTGTAAAGCCAAAATGAAGTAAAAGTAAGTAAAAAGTTTGCATTTTCAGATCTCTGCAGTTCAAATCTCTCATAAGGTAACAAAGTTCTTACAGAAGCCTTAGGTATCTTTTTTCACATTGCAGGCTATTTAAAAAAACTTTTAAAGTGTATGATATGTTGCAATGTTATGAAGTATGTCAGTCTAACATAATTAAATCCAACATCTTGAGAATTCTTCCAGCAGAATTTCTTTTTGCGTCAGGTAGTGCATTTTAGTTCTGGTTGAACAGTCCCGTTTTGCTAGCAAGGTTACTTGATAGTGATAATTATGATTATGACTGTCATGGGTACTCTGTCCCTAGGTAGTATTTTTAACAATTTCTAATTGCTTTCACATTTTATTGTAATAAATTTTACATATCTTGTCATTTTAATCTCTCTTATTACAAGGCTGAGGAGAATAATTGATGTACTTAATCAGCCAAATTAGTTGCAGAGTTGGGATTAAAATCCAGGTGAATTTCTTTTCGAATACTATTTCCATTACAGCATGCTTTTCAATGTTTGTAGAGGAAAGTATATATTAACTAATTTTTTTTTTTACTCTCTTTAAGATGAAAATTACGGTTTTATTATTTACAGTTTTTGACTTAGTCATTGGTAAGCAGACTCACAGGTTGTGGATGTTCCTTTTTTTTTTAATGTAAAAACCAAATGTAAAGTGGCTGTCATATTTCACTTTGGAAATGGTGTCAATGCATTTTTGGCTGACTGCACGTTGAAGGAGATCAGTAATTAAACCGTATTCTTAAAAGAATCTATGATTAGGGGCGCCTACGTTGCTCAGTTAAGCATCTGGCTTTTTTTTTTTTTTTTTTAAGATTTTATCTATTTATTTGACAGACAGCGATCACAAGTAGTCAGAGAGACAGGCAGAGAGAGCGGAGGAAGCAGGCTCCTTGAGGAGCAGAGAGCCCAATGCGGGGCTCGATCTCAGGACCCTGAGATCATGACCTGAGCTGAAGGCAGAGGCTTTAACCCACTGAGACACCCAGGCGCCCCAAGCATCTGACTTTTGATCTCAGCTCAGGTCTTGATCTCAGGGTCATGAGTGTGGGCCCCACGTTGGGCTCCACCCTGGATGTGGAGCCTACAAAAAAAAAAAAAAGATTCCGTGATTAGACCCAGATACAACTAGCTTCCCCCCACCCTGCCTAGATTCTTTGTTTTGTTTTGTTTTGTTTTTTAAAGATTTTATTTATTTGAGAGAGAGAAAGAATGAGAGAGAGAGCATGCATGAGAAGAGAGAGGTGAGCAGAAGCAGACGCCCCACCAAGCAGGGAGCGCGCCAGGGGACTTGACCCCAGGACTCCAGGACCATGACCTGAGCTGTAGGCAGCCGCCCAACCAACTGAGCCACCCAGGTGCCCTCTTTGTTGTTTTAAGAAAAGTTTAAGTAGCCCTCTCTCGGGGCGCCTGGGTGACTCAGTGGGCTGAACCTCTGCCTTCAGCTCAGGTCATGATCTCAGGGTCCTGGGATCAGGCCCCGCATCGGGCTCTCTGATCGGTGGGGAGCCTGCTTCCCCCCCTCTCTCAACCTCCCTTTCTGCCTATTTGTGATCTCTGTCTCTGTGTCAAATAAATAAATAAAATCTTTAAAAAAAAAAAAAAGTAGCCCTCTCTCTGTTGTGATTCAAGTGCAAGAAGCAGGAGGTTTATACTGAGCGACTCAGTATAATGATTCTGTGATTTAGGAGGCTTTTTTTTTTTCCCCTCAGTAGGGCTCTGTTGAGAGCCTGGCTGTCTTCAGGTCTTCTAAATGCCTTTTTCCAGTAGCCACTTAGTGAGTGCTCACCCCAGCCCAAAAGGGCAACAACCAAGAGTAGGAAATAATTAGCAAATGGTGGTGACAAGAGCCTGCTTCTGTACTTCCATCAGTTGGACTTGGCCTTGCCTTTGGCCTAAGTAATGTAACTTTTCCAGATAATGATATCATCATCCTCGTAACTGCCCAGGCTAGAATTCCTAGAATCTCTGGGACTCATCTTCATCTGTGATTCCTTTTTTCCTTCCATTAAAAAAAGTATATATATATATATATATATATATATATATATATATATATGATTTAAGTACAGTCAGATTCACCCCTTTTCATGTAAAGTTCTGTGAGTTTTGACAGATGCCTACAGTCATGTAACTACCACCACCACATTCATGATATAAAACAATTGTGTTGGGGCTCCTGGGTGGCTCAGTGGGTTAAGCCTCTGCCTTTGGCTCAGGTCGTGATCTCGGGGTCCTGGGATCGAGTCCCGAATCGGGCTCTCTGCTCAACAGGGAGCCTGTTTCCCCCTCTCTCTCTGCCTGCCTCTCTGCCTACTTGTGATCTCTGTCTGTCAAATAAATAAATAATAAAATCTTTAAAAAAAAAAAAAAAAAAAACAGTTGTGTTGCCTCTAAAATCTTCCCATGTCTCTTTGCATTGAATCTCTCCCTTTCTGTTCAGCCCCTGTTTTCTATCCATATAGTGTCCAGAATGGCATGGAATGGTAGCTTTTGGTCTGACTTCTTTCACTTAACATACTGCACTTGAGATTTGTGTTGCATTCAGAGATTCTGTTATGGGTGTATCACAGTTTGTTTATCCATTCACCAATTGAAAGACGTTTTGGGGGGGGTGCCTGGGTGGCTCAGTGGATTAAAGCCTCTGCCTTCGGCTCAGGTCATGATCCCAGGATCCTGGGATCGAGCCCCGCATTGGGCTCTCTGCTCAGCGGGGAGCCTGCTTCCTCCTCTCTCTCTGCCTGCTTCTCTGCCTACTTGTGATCTCTGTCTGTCAAATGAATAAATAAAATCTTAAAAAAAAAAGACGTTTGGGTAGTTTCCAGTTTTTAGCTGTTTTATATTAGCTGTTAAAAAAACTTGCTTAAAAGTTTGTGAACATAAGTTTTCATTTCACTTGGGTAAATACCTAGAAGTTTGAACTCCTGGGTTGTCTGGTAAATGTGTGTTTAACTTCATAAGAAATTGCCAAACTATTTTCAAGAAATATCTGTACCATTTTGCATATCCCTCAGCCTCATACGATGATCTATGGTGGTTGCTCCACATCCTAGCAATTGGTAGTGTCAGTTTTTGTTTTTTAAATTCTAGACATTCTAATAGATCTATAGTGGTATCTCATTGTAGTTTTTTTTTTTTTAAGATTTATTTGAGAGAAAGAGTGGGTGGAGGGGGACAGAGGGAGAGGGACAGAAAGACTTAGGCAGATTCTGTGCTGAATTTGGAGCTCTACATGGGGCTTGAACTCATGACCGTGAGATCACTTCCTGAGCCATGGGACACTTAACTGACTGTGCCACCCAGGCACCCCTTACTGTGGTTTTAATTTCCGTAATGATTCATGATGTTGAACATCTTTTCACCTGCTTATTTGCCATCTGTATATATTCTTTGGTAGAAAGGCTGTTCAAATATGTTGCCCATATTTTTAAAAAATTGGGTATGTGTTTTGTTTTTTTGGAAAATTTTATTTTATTTTATTTTTTAAGATTTTATTTATTAGACAGAGACACAACCAGAGAGGGAGCACAGCACGGGGAGTGAGAGAAGGAGAAGCAGGTTTCCTGCCCAAAAGGGAGCCTGCTGCGGGGCTTGATCCCAGGACCCTGGGATCATGACTTGAGCTGAAGGCAGACGCTTAATGACTGAGCCACCTAGGCACCCCTGGAAGATTTTATTTTTAAGTAATCTCTACACCCATCCTGGGGCTTGAACTTTCTACTCTGAGATCAAGAATCACATGCTCTACCGAGCTAGCCAAGTGCCTGTTGTTTTTTTAAATTTTGTTTTGTTTTCTTAAGTTTTGAGAGTTCCTTATTTATTGTGGATGCAAGTCCTTTATTAGCTATGTGATTTACAAGTATTATTTCCCAGTCTGTAGCTTGTCTTGTCATTTTCTTAATACTCTCTTTTGAAGGGCACAACTTTTAAGACTACTTTATCAGTTTTTCCTCTATGAGTTGTGCTTTAGTGTAAACCAGATTATAAAGATTATCTCTGATGTGTTCCTTTAGACATTTTATAGTTTTATTTTACAATTAGGTATATAGCCCATTTTTGGATTAATTTTTATA